TGAATTGTTATAAAGCTAGTCTGGTCCCTGGTGTCTCTCTCTGTCTCATGTGCTCTCTTCTGCCTTCCACCTTCTGCCATGGGATGACCCTCACCAGATGCTAGTGCTATGCTCTTGGACTTCTCCACCTCAAAAACCATGAGCCAAATAAATTTCTATTTTTATAATTTACCTAGTCTATCATATTCTGTTACAGCAACAAAAAACAAACTAAGACAGATGCTAAATGAAAAGCAGGTGAGGAATAAGATATGTACATAGTCTCAAACTATCACAAATTACTTAATTGCAAAGTAAAAAATAGTAACATTACAGAAGAGAAACCTGGCAGGTGCCATATTAACTAGGCTTAGCATCATCATTAACAAAAACAGGATAAACGAACATCCCATGCCTTTTCTGTGGTGCATCACTTCTGTAGTATTCTTGCCCCAAATCCATAATATGAATCTAATCAGACAAACTCAAATTGATGGACATTCTTCAAACTAATTTGCTTGTACTCTCCAAAAATATGAAGATCATAAATGACAAAAGAGAAGCTAATTCCATATTAAAGGAAACTAAGGAAACTTGAAAACTACATACAATGTAATCTTGAACTGAATCATGAATAAGATATAAGATAAATATAAAAGACATTGGGACAATTGATGACATTTGAATATAGGCTATGGAGATAATAATACTGTATCCACATTAAAATTCCTGATTTTGATCATTCTATTCTGGTTATATAAAAGAATGTAAGGGTTAAACGGGTACAATGCCTACAACTCACTTTCAACTGGTTCAAGAAAAATATAGACATACACATACACCCATATAGAGAGGGAGAGAGAAAGAAAAAGAACTGGAGCATGAATGATTTTTAAAAAATGGGGCAAAATAAAAATGTAAACAGTGAATCTGGATTTTTTGGGTACTTTTTTTTTTTTTTTTTTTTTTTTTTTTTTTTTGAGACAGAGTCTCGCTCTGTCGCCCAGGCTGGAGTGCAGTGGCCGGATCTCAGCTCACAGCAAGCTCCGCCTCCCGGGTTTACGCCATTCTCCTGCCTCAGCCTCCCGAGTAGCTGGGACTACAGGCGCCCGCCACCTCGCCCGGCTATTTTTTTTTGTACTTTTTAGTAGAGACGGGGTTTTTTCACTGTGTTAGCCAGGATGGTCTCGATCTCCTGACCTCGTGATCCGCCCGTCTCGGCCTCCCAAAGTGCTGGGATTACAGGCTTGAGCCACCGTGCCCGGCCTATTTTTGTAATTTTCTGTAAATTTAGATTACATTAATACAAAAAAGTTTTAAGGCATATAGGTCAACACCAACTGCAAACCACCCTGAATTTTACCAAGAATGTATCAGGAAATTTACTTTCAGAAAGTATAATATACCAACTTGCTAAAGCAACAGAAAGCTACTTGTATTGTAAAATGAAAAGATCGTATGTAGCAGAATGGAAACAAAAAAAGAAGCTAACACTGTCTCCAACATATTCATTTCAGAAAGCTGTTTGTTCTAAAGGGTAAACAGAAAAAGTTCAATTTCCTGAAGATGTAATCTAGTATTATCCACACCAGGTGCAATATCCAATCTTATCCAAATAAATCAGCCCAAACTTATGCCTCTAGGAGGAATAAAGGTCAAATTCGAACAAATTGTCCATCTCAGACAGAGGGAAAGAATGTGAGATGTGCTTTGTACAAATAAAATGAACTTGTGTTCCAGAATAGTTATTATTAATGACATGACTTTGACATTACAGAAAAAAATTACTTGAGGTTAGCCCAAATTGGTAGTTATTTTTAAAAATATATTATATATACGCAAACACAATAATTCTTTTCATAAAACTTAAAGTGAAAGTTCTGAAATAAACTATCTACATATTTATTAAGACAAAAAATCAGAAGTGATTATTAACAATTCTCAAATAAGCCCATGTAACATGGTGAAACCCTGTCTCTATTATAAATACAAAAGTTACCTGGGCATGAGGTGTGCGCCTATAATCCCAGCTTGAGAATCCCAGGATTCTCAAGTAATCATAATTTCTATATATTATGAAGCCATGAATGATGTTTTTATCTTTCTCCTGTTTTTTTTTTTTTTTTTGTGGGTTTGTTTTGTTTTGTTTTTAGAGATAGGGTCTTACTCTGTTTCCAAGGCTGGAGTGCAGTGGCATGAACATGGCTCTCTGCAGCCACAACCTCTTAGGCTCAACAGATCCTCCTGCCTCAGCCTCCCACATAGCTGGGAGGTGCGTACACCATGCTTGGCTAATTTTTAAATTTTTTTGTAGAGATGAGATCTTGCTATGTTGCCCAGGCTGATCTTGAACTCCTGAGCTCAAGTGATCCCCCCACCTTGGCCTTCCAAAGCACTGGGATTACAGGCATGAGTCACCCCACCCGGCCGTCTTTCTCCTTTTTTCTTTTCTTTCTCTTCCCCTGTTTCTCATATTCTTTTCATTTGTGTTTCTCCCAACTACCCTGCTTGTGAAGGTTAACCAGAACATTGCTTAGTTTTGCCAGTGGCACTCAGAGTTTACAGAGGTTGTGGACCTTATACAAGGTATGCGCAAGAAGTGGCACATTTATTCTGACAGGGCATATAAGTGAAGCAAAATATCTTTCAAAGCATCTCACAGAAAAATTATTCCTGCTAGGAAAAGAGTCTCTGGGCTTCAGAATACGAACTATCCCACACAGACATGCTATGCACCTTAGAAAACAGCACTATGGCAATTCCTGACCACTGTGGGAAAAGTTCATTTTGACTTAGAAGTGCTTCACCCAAACCCGCATTATCTTTGTCAAAAAAAAAAAAAAAAAAAAGATTAGTAGTTAAACAAACTAAGAGACAGAATTATAAATGCAAAAAAATCCAAAAATTTACATTTTATTTTAAAAAATCTTAACAAAAATATATTTGTGTTTTAATTCTTCCTTCCCTTAGCAATAGATGTATTTTCACTTTTCCTTGCTTGTTCTACTTCTGTTCTGCTGTAGAATACTTCTTAAGAATGCTAATAGATTCATGAGTCCAATTTTGTTTCTAAAGAAAGGAAGATTAGGCCAAGAAAGATGACTCATGCCTGTGATTGGGCACTTTGCGAGGCTAAGGCTAGAGGATTGCTTGAGGCCAGGAGTTCGAGACCAGCCTGGGCAATAAAGCAAAAGGCTCCATCTCTACAAAAACTTAACAAAAGTTAAGTTAAACATAAAAACTGTTTATGCCTCAACAAAAATATCAAAGTACTGGGTGAGAGGAGAAAGTAAAGCTAGGCACTGTGCAAGTTATTTTATACATTATTTTACTTAAGAATGTGAAGTAAATATTATGATTCTCCAAGCTAAGAAATTTAAGGCTTGGAAATATTAGGTAATTTGCTTGAGATTAAGTAGCTAGGGTACAGCTTTAAATTCAGGCCTGCTTGAAAACTTGAGTTTTGCTTATATGACTGCTTCCCTGGAATTTTTCTACTAATGCTATAGCAACATAATAATATCTTGACTTTTCAAATAAAGCAGGAGGAAAATAATTCCAGAAGTAAATGAAAATTTCTGAAATAAATTATAAGGATATAGTATGTACTATATTTTCAGACTCTGCTAAATTAATCGATACTTGACTATTCAAGCAATTTCATAAATCAAATATAAATTATAAATTAATACTTCTATTATAAAAGAATCATCCGACATGAGTTAAATGTGGGAATCACTAGCAAACTAATCTCTAAAAGTTAATTAAAAAAAGATGGGAGATGATAACAGCACATTTTCCCCTTTAGTGTCTATAATATCTTCTGCAGTGAAAGATATTCTCACAATGACACGCTCAAATATTTCATCCGTTCATTCTGTTCAGTCAGTTCTTATATGGCTCAGACTTCTTGCTATCAGCTGGGGAACACGATATAGTAAAATTTCCTATAAGTTTTATTCTATCAATCTGGTTGCTAGCCAGATACAGTAGCACATACATTAACTTAGCCAAGAAACATTTTCCAGAGCATTATAAAAAGAGGCCTTAGGGGAAACCAGTGAGTCAATGAACAAGGCAGTCGAATATTGTGAGACAGCTCTTCCCTAGCCTGAAATCTCAGTTCGAATTCCCTATAGTGCCCATCAATTTCACACTTCATCGTCTAGAGCAGGTTGCTGGTAATAAGTCATAGGCAACTGATGTGGTGAGGATACCATCTTTGACGTACTCCTGGGTCTATTCATCATGAGAAATGGCAGAAATACATTTTGTGTTGCTCTTGTTAAGGGAGGTTGATTATTCATTATTATTAACATGTATTTGTTGGCAAGGAGCAATATGACACATGTAATTAGATTCAACATATGCACTGCAGGGTTTGTAATCAGGCAGTAGTTTTTTCTCTCTTGAGGGGAAAATAAGTAAGAAAGAAAGATCAGGCTTAAAATCTGAGTATCATATATCTTTCTATATAAAGGAGCACTGTTGACTTAAAATTAATTCTGACTTAAAAGAAAATTCCTTCTCTCAAATATCTGAAAAAACTAACTAATACTAAGTGAGCATTAATAGGCAACGCCTGAATCTTTTCCCTGTTAGTGGCCTCAGAGTTGGGTGGCAGAATTTGGCAAAAGTAAATCTGTCAAACCAATTACTTAGTTCAAGCTTTTTATTTGTAACTCTCAAAAACATTCTTGCTACAACGTTCTATTTAATATCAAACCCATGTTACTATTTAATACCATAGATAACTAAATTTCTTACTAAAGAGTGTCTTTCTATATATACCTTCATTTAACAATAAATATACTTGACAAACTGCAATAATTTGACAGAGAACCTTGCAGGGAAAGTGTTATTCCATACTTAATATTTTGCTGATTGGCTAAAAAATGAAAAATGTTAAATAAAAATAAAAGAATTGAGAAATATAAGTTTTCAAACATTCTAAAAAATTATAAAAGAATTTCTTTCCAAATTTCCAAAATTTATGTTTTACAATTTTTGTCGTCCTCCAGACATGATGCACTGAGAAGAAAATATCACTTCTATGCTATTCCTGCTCCAAGTGCATCACCTGATTCTAATTATCAGAAAACAGCAGACAAATCCAAATTGAGAGACATTCTGCAAAATAACTGGTCTGTGTTCTTCAAGAATGTTAAGGTCAAGAAAGACAAAGAAAGACTGAGGAAGTGTTCCAGATTAAAAGAGAAGCAGAGAGATGCGACAACTACATGCAAAACATAAATATGGGATTTTTCTGTTGTTATAAAGGACATTATTGGGACAAATAGCAAAATCTAAGTAAGGTCTGTGGAATAGATAATAATATTGCATCAATCTTAATTTGATAATTATTTTTCGGTTATTTAAGAAAATATCCTATTTTTTCTTATTTTTAAGAACCTCACACTGACGTATTCAGGAGCAAATGATGGTTGTCATGTCTGCAACTATCTCACATAGTTCAGAGAGAGAATGAGTATGTGTGGGTGACACAGAAAGGGAGAGAAATAAAGTAAAGGTGTTAAAATGTTAACACTGAGGAATCTGGATAAAAGGTATATTAGAATTATTGTACTATTCTTATAACTTTCATATGTCTGGAAAGTATATTAAAATAAAAAATTTAAAAAGAGTATGACAGAAAAAAATCTTAGTTACATTATTATGGAACATACTATAATTCAATACATGTTTAATTAAAATAAAATGACCTTGAACTTCACATAATATATATCCCTTGATTGTTTTCGCGTATCAAGCAATTGCAGCTGTTGTAAGCTGTCACTCATATAGATTTCTCTCAAATTTAGCTATACCAGTGGGGAAAAAATGGCATGATAATCCTTAACAGCTGACAACTTAAAGCCATTTGCAAAGTATTGTCTCACTAATTCAAACAAACAGGAAGAATAATATATAGCTGAAATAAACAATATTTTAAAATAAACGTTTTCTTTGTACTTCTAAATGGATATTGCAAACAAAAATATTAAGGAAATGTTGCCATACAGAGATCCTTCAAGCTAGTGTCAAAGATGAAGTGTGCATGTGTATATATATACACATATATACTATAAGTATAAATGAGTTTTTGTTATTTAACATGTAGTCTATATATGGGCTGTTAAAACACAGGCTAATATTTACTGTATTCTTACTATGCCAATGCTTTAGATGCATTTATTAAACAAACCAACCCATCGAGTAGGTTTTATTATTAATGTAAAGCTTAGCTCACACTTCTCCCTGAAATTACATGTCATTGGCTTCCAATGTTTTTCTGTTGTTCATTTCTGTCAAATCATAACTCAGATGTGAAAGTTCAAATGCCAACTCCAGCCAAGTCTTCCTTAATCCAACAATCAGAACTAATCATTCTTGCTTCTGAATTCCTACAAGCCTTTATTCAACAACATTTGTTAAAGTTTTCCTAAATATATGTATTAAACACTTGCTACATCCAAAATATTGAGTTATTTGTAAGAGTTCACAGGGTAATATATAAAATAATTAAAATTATATAATAAAACATTTAAAAATGCCTTGAATTTATTGGACACTTACCAATGAACCAAGCATGGTACTAAGTATGTTACAAACATTGTCTTCTTTAACTCTTTCTGCTACCCTACACAAAAGTCATTATTAACATCCCCATTTTGCAGATGAGAAAACCAACACTTAAGAGAAATCAAGTAACTTGCCTAGGTAGGCATAACTGGTAAATGACAGAGTCTGGTCTACCTGACTCAAAAGCTTATGCTTTTAAGCTACTTCCTGCCTGCAAAAGGTAGCAGTCTCATGGAGGAGAAAATGTGAACCTACATCAATTATAGTTCAAGGTTAAAAAGTAATGTTCCATAGAAAAAGAAGGAAGACGTTGAGAAAGGAAGGAAGACTTGCTATCTAATATCTAAGCTGCATATTGAAAGACAAATAGAAATGTGATAAAGGGAGGAAAGTCATTCCAGATTGGCAATAACAAAGAGGTTTCAGGAATTCTGAGGATGTACATGTGAAATAGAAACTAGTTATGCCTGGAGGATCCATATTCTATGTAAGGAAATTAATATCAGAAAGATAAGCATATATATTTTATATATATACACACACACACATCGGCTATGATTAAATACAAAATTATAGAATTTTAATTTCCCTACTAGTGTGATATGCATAAATTCTGAATCAATTCGCTATCCTTAGTGCCAAAACTTACCAGACACAAAAATGTATCAATACATTTTTGTTTAGTAAGTAGAATTTATTTAGTCAGCTTTTAATAAATGGTAACTCACAAAATTCCCATTGCATGAAGAAAGTTATTAACATTTATTCTTTTCCATTCCAGAACAGATGCTCAATGTGATTAGGGTTCTATATTATGAAGATTAATCCAACAGCCATCATAGATTGAGTTGGAGGGATACAGAATGGAGAATGGCGGGTAGTTATAAAGTAATAGGACTCCCCGAAAGCACACTGCAGCATAGTAGAGATGGATGGCCCCACATTCAACAGAGCTGCCTTATCCTAGAGATGAGGAAATCAAGACAAGATAAACTTAGAATCTTTAAGAATGTAAGGAACATTGGGCTGGCAAGCTGGCTGAATAGGAACCGCTCCAGTCTGCAGCTCCCAGCAAGATCAACGCAGAAGGCGGGTGATTTCTGCATTTCCAACTGAGGTACCTGGTTCATCTCACTGGGACTGGTTAGACAGTGGGTACAGCCCATGGAGGGTGAGCCAAAGCAGGGTAGGGCGTTGCCTCACCCAGGAACTGCAAGGTGTCAGGGAATTCCCCCCACCCCTAGCCAAGGGAAGCCCTGAGGAACTGTGCCATGAGGAAGGGTGCACTTCAGCCCAGATACTCTGCTTTTCCCACAGTCTTTGCAACCCACAGACCAGGAGATTCCCTCGGGTGCCTATACCACCAGGGCCCTGGGTTTCAAGCACAAAACTGGGCAGGTGTTTGGGTAGACACAGAGCTAGCTGCAGGAGTTTTTTTCATACCCCAGTGGCACCTGGGATGCCAGCGAGACAGAACCATTTACTCCCCTGGAATGGGGGCTGAAGCCAGGGAGCCAAGTGGTCTAGCTCAGCGGATCCCACCCCCACAGAGCCCAGCAAGCTAAGATTCACTGGCTTGAAATTCTCGCTGCCAGCACAGCAGTCTGAAGGCAACCTGAGACACTGGAGCTTGGTGGGGGGGGAGGGGTGTCTGCCATTACAGAGGCTTGAGTAGGTGGTTTTCCCCTCACAGCATAAACAAAGCCACGAGGAAGTTTGAACTGGGCATCGTCCACCGAAGTGCAGCAAAGCAGCTGTAGCCAGACTGCCTCTAGATTCCTCTTCTCTGGACAGGGCATCTCTGAAAGAAAGGCAGCTGCCCCAGTCAGGGCCTTCTGGATAAAACTCCCATCTGCCTGGGACAGAGCACCTGGTGGAAGGGGCGGCTGTGGGTGCACCTTCAGCAGACTTCAACGTTCCTGCCTGTTGGCTCTGAAGAGAGCAACAGATCTCCCAGCATAGCGCTCAAGCTATGCTGAGGGACAGACTGCCTTCTCAAGTGGGTTCATGACCCCCATGCCTCCTGACTGGGAGACACCTCCCAGCAGGAGTCGACAGACACCTCATACAAAAGAGCTCTGGCTGGCATCTGTCAGGTGCCCCTGTGGAACAAAGCTTCTAGAGGAAGGAACAGGCAGCAATCTTTACTGTTCTGCAGCCTCCACTGGTGATACCCAGGAAAACAGGGTATATTGCAGTGGACCTCCAGCAAACTCCAGCAGACCTGCAGCAGACGGGACTGAGTATTAGAAAGAAAACTGATAAACAGAAAGGAATAGCATCAACATCAACAAAAAGGACGTCCACACAGAAACTCCATCCAAAGATCACCAACATCAAAGACCAAAGGTAGATAAATCCACAAAGATGAGGAAAAACCAGTGCAAAAAGGTTGTAAATTCCAAAATCCAGAATGCCTCTTCTCCTCCAAAGGATCACAACTCCTCGCCAGCCAGGGAACAAAACTGGACGGAGAACGAGTTTGACGAATTGACAGAAGTAGGCTTCAGAAGGTAATAACAAATAAAGTCCCCTGAGCTAAAAGAGCATGTTCTAACCCAATGCAAAGAAGCTAAGAAACTTGAAAAAAGGTTAGAGGAATTGCTAATAGAATAACCAGTTTAGAGAAGAACATAAATGACCTGATGGAGCTGAAAAACACAGCACAAGAACTTCGTGATGCATAAAAAAGTATCAATAGCCTAATCGATCAAGAAGAAAGGATATCAGAGATTGAAGATCAATGTAACAAAAAAAAGCATGAAAACAAGATTAGAGAAAAAAGAATGAAAAGGAACGAGCAAAGTCTCCAAGAAATCTGGGACTATGTAAAAAGACCAAACCTACATTTGATTGGTGTACCTGAAAGTGACAGGGAGACCGGAAACTAGTTGGAAAACACTCTTTGGGATATTATCCAGGAGAACTTCCCCAGCCAATCTAGAAACACAAACCCAATTTCAAATTCAGGATATACGGAGACCACCGCAAAGGTACTCCTCAAGAAGAGTAGCTCCAAGACAAACAATCACCAGATTCACCAAGGTTGAAATGAAGGAAAAAATGTTACGGGCAGCCAGAGAGAAAGGTCGGGTTACCCACAAAGGGAAGCCCATCAGACTAACAGCAGATCTCTCGGCAGAAACTCTACAAGCCAGAAGAGAGTGGGGGCCAATATTCAACATTCTTAAAGAAAAGGATTTTCAACCCAGAATTTCATATCCAGCCAAACTAAGCTTCATAACCGAAGGAGAAATAAAATCCTTTACAGACAAGCAAATGCTGAGGTATTTTGTCACCACCAGGCCTGCCTTACAAGACCTCCTAAAGGAAGTACTAAATATGGAAAGGAAAAACCGGTACCAGCAATGGTAAAAACATACGAAATTATGAAGATTATCGACACTATGAAGAAATTCCATCAACTAACGGGCAAAATAACCAGCCTGTATCATAATGACAGTTTCAAATTCACACACAACAATATTACACTTAATGTAAATGGGCTACATGCCCCAATTAAAAGACACAGACTGGCAAATTTGAATAGTCAAGACCCATCAATGTGCTGTATTCAGGAGACCCACCTCATGTGCAAAGATACACATAGGCTCAAAATAAAGGGATGGAGGAATATTTACCAAGGAAACGGAAAGCAAAAAAAAGCAGGGGTTGCAATCCTAGTCTCTGATAAAACAGACTTTAAACTAACAATGATCAAAAGAGACAAAGAAGGGCATTACATAATGGTAAATGGATCAATGCAATAAGAAGAGCTAACTATCCTAAATATATATGCAACCAATACAGGAGCACCCAGATTCATAAAGCAAGTTCTTAGAGACCTACAAAGAGACTTAGACTCCCACACAATAATAGTGGGAGACTTTAACACCCCACTGTCAATATTAGCCAGATCAACGAGACAGAAAATTAACAAGGATATTCAGAATTAGAACTCAGCTCTGGACCAAGCGAACCTAATAAACATCTACAGAACTCTCCACCCCAAATCAACAGAATATATATTCTTCTCAGCACCACATCATACTTATTCTAAAACTGACCACATAATTGGAAGTAAAACACTCCACAGCAAATGCAAAAGAATGGAAATCATAACAGTCTCTCAGACCACAGTGCAATCAAATTAGAACTCAGGATTAAGAAACTCACTCAAAACTGCACAACTACATGGAAACTGAATAACCTGCTCCTGAATGACTAGTAGGTAAGTAACAAAAATAAGTCAGAATAAATAAGTTCTTTGAAAACAATGAGAAAAAAGACACAATGTACCAGAATCTCTGGGACACAGCTAAAGCAGTGTTAACAGAGAAATTTATACCACTAAATGCCCACAGGACAAAGCGGGAAAGGTCTAAAATCAACACCCTAACATCACAATTAAAAGAACTAGAGAAGCAAGAGCAAACAAATTCAGAAGCTGGTAGAAGACAAGAAATAACTAATATCAGAGCAGAACTGAAGGAGATAGAGACATGAAAAACCCTTCCAAAAAAAAAAAAAAAAAAAAAAAAATCAATGAATCCAGGAGCTGGATTTTTGAAAAGATCAACAAAATAGATAGAATGCTAGCCAGACTAATAAAGAAGAAAAGAGAGAAGAATCAAATAGACACAATAAAAAATGATAAACGGGATATCACCACTGATCCCACAGAAATACAAACTACCATAAAACAATACTATAAACACCTCTATGCAAATAAACTAGAAAATCTACAAGAAATGGATAAACTCCTAGACACATACACCTTCCCAGGACTAAACCAGGAAGAAGTCCAATCCCTGAATAGACTAATAAGTTCTGAAACTGAGGTAGTAATAGCCTACCAACCAAAAAAAGTCCAGGACCAGATGGATTCAAAGTCGA